ATATATTTTTGATGTCTACAGAGACTGCAATAATATTTTCTGCTTATTTCTTGACACTGGTAATAGGTATCTTCTCTCTTTTTCTCTGTCAGTTTTGCTAAAGATGTGACATTGTTAGTGATTTTTTTTTTAAAAGAACCAGCTCTTTTTTGCATGGTGTTTAGTCATTCCAGGAATCTCCAAACTCTTTCTTTTCAGTTAAGATTTTGTTTCTACTTTGCAGAGCACTTTGTTGCAATTGCAATTATAAATTCCTGCCACCTTTTCTCTTCTACATCATGTCCGGCTTTCATTTTTTAAATTTTTTTTCTTTTTTTTATTATTATTTTGTGTGTTTGTACCATCACATCGGATCTGACTGGTATAGGAGGAGACTGCCCCTCTTCTCCAGCAGAGCATCTGGTGGATTCGAACCACATACTTCTGGGATTGCAGTACAGCTTCTTGCCACTAGGCCCTGGCTTTCCATTTTACTACTCAGTTTGGTCTTGCTTTTGAATGGTGACTATTTCTGACTGATAATTTAGATTGCGTCATTTTTACCAACATTACTTTACATCACAATTACACAAAGCCATTTTGAATTCCAAACCATTTCAGGTACATTGTAAAATACTTGTCTGATAAAAACATAAAACTTTCAAAATAATCATCAATTTTTAATATCCTGAGAAAGCATCACTGTGGTGTCCTGGAAAGAGAAATAAGTTTAGCAGTATAATGCTAAATAACTATGAGGATATATATTAATATGGGAGCTCTGATGTCTTGGTGGTAAGGAGCTGCATTTCTAACCAAAAAGTGCTTGGTTCAAATCCACCAGCTTCCCTGGGGGGAGAAAGAAGGGCAGTCTTCTCCCGTGTGATTTACAGCCTCTGAAAACCCACTGGAAGGTCAACTATGAGTCAGTTCTGATTCAATGTTTGTTGTTGCTATATATTTTACAGTCAGAACTGACTCATAGCTGATCTTTCAGCAAGTTTTCATAGGCAGAATATCAAATGAAAGAGATTGTCCCTCTTTTCTCCCTTTGATCAGCTGGTGGATTTGAAACACGTACCCTTGGGTTGGCAGCATAATTCCTTATCACTAAGCCACGAGAACTTCCCATTAGAAGAATACTGATTTAAAATAAAGATTAGGTTGGAAAATACTCATGAAGTAATGTTGTAATGAGAAAATTACAAAATTGTATGTAAAGTAAGAAAGATCCCAATATGAATGCATGTATGTTGTTTTGTACTGTCAAGTCAGATTTGACCCATAGCTGTCCCTCCAGTGGGTTTTTAGAGGCAGTAAATTGCACAGGAGTAGATTGTGCATCTTTCACCCATGGAACAGCTGGTGGATTCGAACTGCATGCCTCTGGGTTGGCAATGCAATTCCTTACCACTAAGCCACCAGAATTCCCTGTGGCTGTACATGTTTGTTGTTGTTGATTTCTGTTGAGTTGAGCATGACTTATAGTGACTCTATGAACAAAAGACCTAATGCCTTTCCATAACTATTGTTGTTTCTCCAAGTTCATAGAGTTTCTAGAAGCATGTGGTTTAGGAACTGGATGCCGCTCCTGCTTCAAAACCTATTTACCAACTGGGAGCTCCACCAAACACTGTCCCCACTGGGAAATCATTCTGGTATTTGCTACCCCAATGATACAAGGTTCAGCATCACAGCAAACCCAGGTTACTTCATACATCACATTGACAAAGAGTGATGTGCAAAGTGGAAGAGTGTTCCTCCAGGTATAACAGCACTAGTCTCATTTAGCAGTGGTTAAGTGTCATCAAGTTGAATAATACTCATAGTAACCCTTGCACAAAAGACCTGAACTCTGTTCTGAAGCTAACATAATTTCTATACGTTTATAGAGTTTCCACAGGCATCTAGTTTAGGAAGTAGATGCCACTCCTGCTTCCCAACCTGAATCAATCTGGAAGCTCCTCCAATCATTGGACATGATGGGTGACCATGATGATGGGGTTGACACGACTATGGCACAGTGTTCAGTATCACAGCAACTCCAAGTTATTCAGTACAGGAAATAGACAAATCTCTTCAAGAATATTCATTCTAAAATTGATAAATTTGGCCCGAGGGCTGTATGAGATTTTAACAACACACCCTTAGCAGGCCTCCACCCTTGGTTAAAAGTTCAACTAACACCTGCTTTTGCGGAGGGAAGAACAGTAGCTCACATCAAACACGACCCCAAAAACTTCCCTTACGTGACCACCGTCAGATGTTAGGAGCCAACTCGTAGAGTGGAGTCTCCAGGCAGGCCCACAGACTCAGTCCCTCAGTACCAGATTTTAAAGACACAACCTCAAGCATGCTCCACCCTTGGTCAAAGTGACACCGCTTTTGAGGGGGGAAAGAACAGTAGCACGCATCAAACATGACCCCAAAAACTTCCCTTATGTGACTGCCAACTGCCATCAGACTCTAGGAGCTAACCTGTAGAGTGGTACATGTATTAATACATATATAAAATTAATAGGAAGAATACACTTCAGAATGTTGCTCTAGATCCTGGTTAGCTCTGGATGATGGGATAATGGTTGACTTTGAATTTTCTGTATTTTGCATTTTAGGGGGAAACACAGTAGATTTGTTATTAGAAAATAGATTTTAAATATAATGTAAAAGAAGAAAACTCAAAGTCATTAGAGTTGTTATTTGTTTTCTTTTATGCTCCACCTGACTTCAGAAAGGGTTTGAAGCAGCATATAACAAGAAAAATTAAAATACAAAAGAAAACAAAAAAGGTTAAAATGATGGTGGTGGTGGTGTTGTTAAGTGCTGTCGAGTGGTAGATGACTTATAGCGACCCTATGAACGAAAGACCTGAGCATTGTTCATAGAGTTTTCAGAGGCAAACTATTTCAGAAGTGAATACCAGTACTGTTTCCAAGCTTGTTTTAATCAGGAAGTTCCATCAAACAGTGTCCACCATGTGTGACCATTATCACATTTGGCACATCGGTGTCACAGCAACCACACGTTACCTCTGTACAGCAATGCACAGACCAGTGCTATACCACCTAGAAGAATGTTTGACCAAAACCAATTTTAGCAATTTAAACCAGCCCTGAGTGCCGCAGACTAATATCACCCACTAACATTCCACTCTACAGCTCACCAATTCCAGCCAACAGCTTCTGCAGAACCAGCTCCTGTAGATGACTTTCAAACTGGTCTCCAGTGCCAGGCTGCCTACCCTCATGGATTATTTTTTTTAAATGAGGGTAGAAAAGGTATACAATATACATTGTCAGACATGTCCCATGGCTGTCTTTTTAAGAGTTTTTGGCTGATTTCCCCCACTCCCCTGGTGTGTGGATGTGTGTGTGTGTGTGTTTAAAAAAAGTCTTAGGATGTTGTTTAGTCATGAGTTTAATAAATAGTATTAATTTTATAAAACAAATGAGGAATTCTTATACCATATTGAAAAGAGCTATCAAAATATAGGAAAAAAGGATTTTTTTGCCGGTTTTACGTGAATTAAATATTCTTTTTTTTTTTTTTACATATTAGACAGTCCCAGGAAAAGTTTCCTAATGCTACCATAACAAAAAAAATTACCACAAGTAGATGACTTTCAAGAACAGAGAATAATTTTCTCACAGTTCTGGAGACTGGGCTTCTGAATTTAGAGTATAAGTGGGGGTAGAAGCACTTCTCTAAACTCTATGGAAAGATCCTTGCCTCTTTTCAAATTATAACCACAAGTGTTTCTTGGCATTTTTTGGCTGGTTGTAAATGAATCTTTACATGGCTTTCACTTCCTCTGTATCTTTGTCTATATCTATTCTGCTCCTATTATAAGATATCATTCAGAAGGATTCAATATGAAGAACCCACCCTCCTTTTGGAAAGGAACATTATGCTTGGAAAGGTGAAGGGTTGATGAAAGAGAGGAAGACCCTTAATGAGACAAAATAGACACAGTGACTGCAGGAATAGGTTCAAGTGTGTCAGCGATGATGACAATAGATGGGACAGAGTTCAGACTGTTGTTCATAGAGTAGCTATGAGATGTACTCACCTCGGAACACCTAACAACAACAACAACAATAGCAGCAACACAACAATACTTTCCACACAGAGTCATTTATAGGTAAAGGGGTTAGGGTTTCAGTGTCACTTCTCCCCCCTGTTTATATGTGTGGATTTATTAGACACACTTGGCAAAGTTGTTTTATCTGAACATATACCTTACTTATAAGTTATGACAAGTGGTTGAAGGTCCACCAGAGTCTGAACCTGCCGCCTTCTCCCGGCAATTCCAGCAGCAATTCTTCAGTGTCACATTTTGGGACTAGAATTCAATCCATAACACATAATTACTATGATTTATGCCAACATAAAGACAGACATTTTGAATCTACCAGCAACTCCATAGGAGAAAAATGGGCAATCTCCTCCTGTGTAATTTGCAGCCTCTGAAAACCTGCTGGAGGCTCAGCTATGAGTCAGTTCTGACCAGACACATGGTCCACAACAACAGCATATTATATTAAACTTGCATCAGGAGCTCCGAAAGTATGGTACATTACCTGTGCTCCCGTGCTGTGCTAACTGCTAACTGGAAGGCCAGTAGTTTGAATCCACCAGCGGCTCCAAAGCAATCTATTCTCATAGAGATTTACAACTTTGGAAACAAAACGGAGGGTCGTCATGAGTCGGATTGACTTGATGGTAGTGAGTTTTTAAAAATATATTTGCATGGTAGGTTACAAGTTACTAATGTATGCTTAGTTGGCTTATCTATTTTGAATGCATTGGATGGAGAAATAAATTGGAAGAAATCCCTGCCATTAACTAGCTGGACTCTACTGGGAAGAAACTGTGCTGCTGATGCAGTGGCAGGCAGTTTGAATCCACCAGCTGCTCCATGGGGGAAAAAAAGATAGTGTATGATAAATGTTCGTCTTAGACTTATATACTCTTGAAGTTATTTAACTGTGGTTTGTTGGTTTGGTTTTGGTTTTTTACAGAGAGACCTCTCTCCCCCAAGGCTGCCAAAGGACTCGAAAGTGTTCCACTAACCAAGAATTATTATACAGTGGTGAGTGTTCACATGATGAACAAAAATTATCTTCGCTCTATGTGGAAACTTTTCACATGTCCAACTATGGTGTTGAGATGACACAAATGGAAAACTGGATAAAGTTGCATTACATCGCTTGAGTGTCATACACATTGTGATAAGGCTCTTATACTTGCAGGCCTCTTAAAAACAAACAAACCAAAAAAAAAAAACAACAACAAATGTCTAGAAATTTTATGCCTGCTGTACCGGAAAAAATGTGATGGTAGCACAGAGATTTAGAGCAAGGCATTTTAAAGAGTGGTGGGAAAGAAAGTGGTTAAAATGCAGGCATTCTAGTAAGATATGGGAAACCCTGGGTGGAACAAATGACTACACTCTTGACTACGAACTGCAAGGTAGAAGGACCTAGTAGTTGACTTTCAAAAGGTCACTGCTCTTCAGCTGGTGCATTCAAACTGAATGCCTTTGAGTTGGCAGCCCGACTCCTTATCACTAGAACACAAGAGTATTAAAAAAGGGTGAAATCTGATTAATATCTGTATATTATACCAATGTCAAATTCTTTATTCTAATTCTATCCTGTGCTTGACTGGATATTGGCTTTGAGACTTAGGGAAGAGATGCATGAAGCTTCTTTGTATATTTTTTTTGGTTACCATCTGTGATTCTACAGTTAATTTTTATTTAGAAGTATTAGCAAGGAACACTTAAATTTTAAAATAAAAAGAAAAATTTTCTCTCTAGAAAAAGACTCCAGTTCAAGACTTTATTTATTCTATAATTCTACCATTTTGTAAATAAATATACTTACCTTACCCTCCCTTCCCCCCAAAAAAGTCACTGCTCTTAAAAACCCTTTGGAATCAATTGAGAAGGACTTTGGTGTTGAGGGAGAAGAAGCAGCACACTTTGATGAAACCTCAGATGTGAGGCCTACTGTCCAAGCATCTGCAAAAGTGTGCTGTTTGAGCATTCATTATATCCCTGGAGGTTGCAGCTTTCTGTAAGTTTGCTGTGTCTGTACCAAGAAAGAAGGTATATGCAGATTTCTATTATGAGTCTGTGAAGGATTTTGAGGAGATGAGGAAAGCTGGTGTCTTTCAGAGTACAAAGTAATTTTGGAATGTAAATCATTTCTTTGGATTGTGTTTCATGAATGTTGTCACTGACCTATGTTCCTGAACTGTGAAGCATGGCTCTGTGGCCTAAGAAATAGTTTCCTTTGGCCTAAGAAATAGTTTCCTTTGGTAAATAAACGTTTACCAAAGAATAAAACAACAACAACAAAAAAACCCCAACCAAAATTCTGTGGAAGCACAGTTTATTTTGATATTTATAACTCAGAATCAAGTCAGTGGCAATGTGTGAGTGTGTATGGTGAAATTCGGCAGTTAAATAGAACCTTACCGGATAGTTAGAAGGTGAATTCCTAGTTGCTGTAATGCAGTAAGTTTTAAGTGATTGCATTTTATGATTTTATTTTAGAATCGATCAATCTATTATTATATCCTCTGGAATAGTATCAACCTTGCTCTTGAGGAGTGCCCGAAGAGAGGACTGCCTTTGGCACAGAGGGAAGAATGAAATGGCCCTGGCTTGAACATGGATATGTCAAGATGTATTAGCTATAAATAGGGCATGAACAATACTCAAAATAAGTTCCCATTTGAAAAAGAAATGGCCTTATTCTCCTTAATCTACTCTCTGCTTTTCTTCACGTCTCCCTTCCAGACTCAGTCCAGTCACTAATGAAAAGGTCAAGTCACCATTACCTCACAGTTTCTCTGCCTGCTGGCCTCATCTGCCCCCACCTCTGCTGAAATACGGCTTCAGCTTTCACCTCATGTTCTGTGTGCCCCTTCTTTTCATCCATACTAACAGTTTTTAAACATCTGTATATTATCTGAGTGTCTTTTGGTTTCAAAATTTGAATTCCACCCTTTGGCAAAATTGTGATGAGGACATGAGCAGTACATGGGATGAAAAATTAGGAAGCAACTTTCTAGATACCATGGATGGTAATCATTGGGGATTGTTTTGTCACTTTCTCCCATATTAATGAGGCTAAAATAGATTTTCCAGTAGAGATAGACTCCCTTTTCTACTTCCTTCCTGTTTACTTTGATTAGTTTCCAAGTGAATATAGTGGTTTAACTTTAAAATAAATGATCTTAAAGTAGTGTTTATTTGTATTTGGGTGGTGCTTTGCTATACTTCTAAATATTGAGTGACAGTACTTTTTGGGGAGGGGGTTCTATTCCCCCCCTTTAAATGCTTAATTCACATTGTGCTTCATATGTTCATTCCATTATAAAGTTAATCACCATAGATCTGTGTCCACCATTACCCCACATTTTCCAATCCCCATTGGATCTTTCTTAATTCCTTCACCCCCTTCCCTCTATCCACCAAACTCTGTGACATCGTTATTTCCCCTTCCCCCCTAGCAGTCCCTCTCTCCCTCCCCTTTTGGACTCTGGTACACATCTTACTAGTAATCCTTCTGTTTTTACAATAATAGTCTTATGCAGTATTTGTCCTTATGAGACTGAGTTAGTTCACTCAGCATAATGTTCTCCATCCTCTCCCATGCTATCTAATATTTTCTGACATTATTGCTCCTGAGTGCTGCATGCAACTTTTTTAAAAAAAATTTGCAGCATTTCAGCAGAATTTAAAAAAATGGATATAATTTTATTTTTAAAAATTTTTATTTTATATTGGTTTGCTTACAAAGTTCATATACATTGGGGGGGGTGGGAAAAAACCAAAGTTCATATACATTGTGTTTCATACTATTCTTCAATCACATTGTGTTTCATACAATCATTCCTATGCTTTACGTTTTATAAAATTAATCACCATTATTCACCATTACGAGAACATGGAAACAACTCAAATGTCAAACTACAACTGAATGGGTTGAGAAACTGTATGTTCACACAATAGAATATTATTGCGCACTCAGGAGCAACGGTTTCATGTAGGGTGTTTATTTCTCCTGTGTTCTTTTCTGTGCTGAGTTCTTTTCCTTTATGGCTTTTCCTAGAATTTTCTTTATTGCTGTGGATTTAATGTTTACTAAGTCATTATTATTTATCTCTTTTTTATTTTGATGAAAGAGTTTATTAATTTTCTTTGAGATGACCCCTGTACATTTTTATTTTATTCCCAAGGTTTAGCTTACTCTCTCTTGAAGTCTCATTAACTTTTTGGCCGTTTGGAAATTATGTAACTATTCAACTTTCTCCCTCTTTTTGCAATTTTTTCCCATTGCTGTCAAGTACAAACTGACTCATACTTGACCCTCCTCTGGCTTTCTGAGGCTATAAATAGCACAAGGGAAATTTACTCATGTTTCTTCCAAGAAGCAGCTGGGGGATTCAAACCACCAGAGCAATTCAGAGGTAGCAACACAACCTGGGACAGACTGTGCCACCTGAATTCCCTGGGAATTGTCCTCATTCACAGATGGATAACTCTGCTTCCCTAATTTTTAGATTTGCGAGTTTATTTTAATTTATGTATTTCTGTATCTGGGTCAGTTTCTGAATGATATTGTTGTGTGTGTTAATTTTGAGTTTTCACCTATTATTCTTAGTTCCTTGTCCAAAGAACTCCCTTTAGTATTTCTTGTAAAGTTGATTTGATTTCACAGATTCCCTTAATTTCTGTTTATCTATAAATGGCCTGATTTCACTGTCATTATTTGAGGGACAGTTTTACTTGAGGGACAATAATTCTTGGTTGGAAATTTTTTTCCCTTCGAGGTTTTACCTATGTAATCTCATTACCATTTTCCCTGGTTTAAGAAACTTTCTTTAAACTAAAGTGTTCATGTTTGCTGTTAAGGGTCATGGGGTCAGCTCCAATATATAGCAACACTGTACATTAGAAAAAAACTCTGCCCATGTGTACCATGATGTGATCCCCAAGGTGTCAACAGGCAGCATCCTCAGTGGTTTTATGTGAAAAAAAACCCCCACACCAAAAAACCAAACAGTATCCCCTAAAAAAAAATAAGAAAAGAAAAAAAAGAAAGAACCTCAGATTCTTTGCAATCGCCACAATTTTTGCTGAGCTTAAAATTGTTACAGCTGCTGTGTGAGCCCATTTCACTGACGGTCTTCCTCTTTTACACTCTTTCTACCAAGCACAATGTCTTTCCCTAGGAACTGGCCCCTCCTGATAATTTCCCCAAAATATATGAGGTGAATCCTCACTCTTTCATGTCCAAACATCATTATGGCTGCATTTTCTCTCTACACAGATTTGACTGTTCTTTTGGTGGTCTGTGGCATGTTCATTATTTTTCTATATTTACCATGGAAACTCTATGAACTTTGAGAAACAGCAATAGTTATAGAAAGCCTTCAGGCCTTTTGTTCATAGGGTCACTATGAGTTGTGCTTGACTCGATGGCAGTCAGTCAACAACAACCACCATTTTCAAAGGTACCTATTCTTCTTCAGTCTTCTTCAGTCATTGCCCAACTTTCAGGCACATCTTAGTTCTCAGTGACATCCTTGCTCTTTAGCATTTCAGAGCTGTCCTTGGCAGCCAATTTGCCCATTGCAATATATCCTTTGATTTCTTATCTGTTCCTTCTATGGCTATTGGTAGTGGAACCCTGTACTCCATTATTGTACCTCAAAATAATAGTTCAGTCTTATTGGTTCTCCTTTGTAGGTAATTCTGGTTTTCTTAAGCTGTTTTCAGTTTTTGTTGCTTTTCTTTGGTTTTGGAAAGTACTATTCAGATATGTCTTGGTTAGTGAGTTTGAACTGCTTGACATAGTGGTCTAGTAGCCAATGCTTAACCATTGCTCCATTACGGTTCCTTAGAAAGTGTATGAAACCAAAACGAAGCCCATTGTCAGGAGTTAATTCCAACTCCTAGCGATCCTAGCAGGTGGAGTAGAACTGCCTAGAACGTTTCCGAGGCTATTAATCTTTACAGACGCAGACTGCCAGGTCTTTCTTCCTCAGAGCCTTTGATGATTTGGGATCCTCAAC